TCGTCTCGATCGTCCCATTCGGGTCGTCAAGTTTTCGTACGAGTTGAGCTTCATGACCAACTGCGCGGTGACGAAGACGTCCACATCGCCAACGCCTTTGCTGGGAACAATACCTCACCGGCTGCGTAAACGGTGTATAGCAAGCGATGTCATCTCGTCTTGGTCATCCCGATGATGCCGACGTCGTACATCGTGGAAAGCACTGCACGATGACAATCAAGGGCTTATTGTTTTTTGAGCTATGGGGTTCCATTGTACAGCATTAGGGACGGAAGGGTACGTTGCTTGCTCCTTCTCGAGGGCTTCCGCTCAAGAAGGATTCGCCCACTGTTATGTGAATAGCACTCATCCTACTCCTCACTTGCCGGGCTAACAGTCACTTCAGCTTCCGTGCCTTTCGATAAAATATTCCCATATAGTCTCAATCGTTTGGGAGAGTTGTTTTTGTCGAAGTTCTATAACTTGTAACGCCACGCGATGATACTAGTTTCATTCAAGATTCTGCGATTAGGCTGCGCACAACAGGTACATTCTCACTTATTCCTAGGTAATTTACGATCAATCAGAATCGAAGTAAACTTTTCGTCGGCTATTCTTGGCCAACTGTTTGGGCATCAAACACTCGCTTATCGAGAAGAAATCGCTCCCTGCAATGGTAATAACTGGAAATGAGCAAAATAACGTGGGCAAGAAAGTGTTCTGTGAGCAGAATGATCCTGAAATAGCTGTATAGTTCACAAGAAATGCTAAACCCTTTCATTCCTAGTAAGACAAATCCCTTGTATTTCGATCGCAGTCGTTTATTGGCACATTTCAGCACCGGATGTAACGATGTACAGAAATTTCATGAGTTGTTCCATAGCTAGTACAGGAATGCTGGTACTCTTTCGCTATTCCATACTTCAGAAGACGTTGCAGTAGTTCTCATAATATTGACATGACTTTGGAAAACGTCCCCTCCCTGAGGTTTCTGCCAGCAGAATTGTAGCAAATACACTTACGTGAGGCTGCCTTTCGTACATCTTCACGTCCCATAGGCGATCGGTTTGCCCAAGGTGAGTGCGATTGAATATAAGTTCATGCACACAGTCCACAACGCCATAGTCGAACGAAGGCATCATCTGAGAAGCATGGTTGATAGCTGCTCACTCGAATCCCCGTCATTTATTACCTTGTTAGCGATCAACTTTGGATGCTTGGCAAGCCAGGCAAAATCTTCCACACCGTAAATACAAACGCTGTGGCGATAGCGCTGTGAGCGGCATTGCATTTTGCCATCGTACGCCCAGGTTTCCACCCTGAAATGGAACTC